GTTAAGAATCAATTAAAGATGTTCTTTTCTATTAACATACAATAACTTTGCAATTACAAATTACTCACTTGCTATTTTCTATTAACAAAGATCCATTGTTATTGCTAGTAATTAAGTTTTAATGGACAAATAAGTACTTTATGGTAGTCAACTGCAAAAGCAGATATACAAATTTTCCTTTTTACAAAATTGTCATATTTCAGAGGTGTTGCATTGCTTTCCCTCGTTAGTCGGTTGTGATAATATTTGAATTGTTTACTGCTCCTGTGTCGGATGGATTTTGAGGATACTCCATGAAGCCAGTAAGAAAACGTACGTAGTTCACTAGACACTTAGCTCAGAAAACCCAGCATTTCAATCAATGTTTGATTGATGATGACTGTACTTTATTCGCATATGCCAGTTCCATTTCATGGTTTTGTTTCCTTCATTATTTTCAGCTGTAAATAACAGAAAACCTCTTACAATACAAATTAATAATTACAATAATTAACAGATCCTAACGTTGTTTATGTTGCAAGGAAAGATATGGTGAAAATTACACAATTAAATAAATACACTTACTTAATATTACAACAGGATATTAGATATTATTTCTAAATTGAGCAGAGAACTAAAATGTTTCTATAAAACAATTAAAATACGTTAGTATTTAAGTAAAAAATTCATTTTTGTATTCCGGAATTTAAAATTGTTATAAAGTTAAGGTTAAATTGTCTCACATGACAGCTTAACACATCTGTCATATTTTTCATTGCCAGGGTAGTGTCTATGTTATGGATTAACGGTAAGAGTTCTTTTCTTTTGTTATGAACCAATCGACATTTATTTTTATAACGCATGGAATCGGTAAAAATAATAACAATAACGAATTAAGTTTTTTATTAAATTTCGCATTCCCTTACGTTTTCAATCATTAGCAATTTTTTTATCAGCTTCTTAAACATAGTAAGGAGCATTATCGCTGTATTTTAATGTGTAGTTAAGAAAACCTACAGGCTAACACCCCAGAAAAACTCTTTTCACGGGTAGCTTTAAAAACCCCTTAAATACGTATTGTATTACCAATTTGATTTGAAGAATAATAAATTATGCTAAAGTTAAGGTTGAAATACAATTTTCCATACACGTTTGCTCCCCATTTCACTCTTAGGGGTTGATTTTTGCAAAATCCTTCCTGAGTGCACATCTACAGCCTAAGAGAGACACATTTTTCAAATATTATGCTTTCATCTTCAACTGTGTGCCACAGAATTGTATTACACATAAATATACGTAGATATAACAGTACAAGATTAAACACCATGTTATTTGTAATTCAATTTTAATATTCTTCATGACAATAAGTTGCTTTATCTTACAACGAATAAATAAGTAAATTGAAGTATTAATTACGAACATTAAATTTTAAATTAAGTTTTCCAGATTAGTATGATGTTTTTTGAAATGTGCTTCAACATATTTTTTCTTGGTATAACTTTTTGTACACATGTTACATTTAAATGGCTTTTCTCTAATTATTTGATGGCACCTCTGAATATGAGTTTTTAAATATGTTTTTCTAGAAAATGATTTTTCACACATGTCGCATTTATATGGTTTTTCGCCAGTGTGTGTTTTAATATGTGACCGTAAAATATTCCTCCAGGCAAACTGCTTCTGACAAATTTCACACTGAAAAGGTTTGTCGCCCGTATGAACCCTTTCGTGGTCTTTTAGTGCCGAAATTGTTTTAAAACTTTTTTCGCACTGGACGCAGTTGTGAATTTTAATGCCGGTGTGATCCATTTTGTGGCACTTTAAGGCTTGACGACTTAAGAATTTCTTTTCACAAAATTGACATTGGTAAAAATTATTTGAATGGTCGTGCATACGAAAATGGTCTTTTAAATGGCTTATGTCTGAAAACGCTTTCTTACATACTTCACATATAAAAGGTTTCTCTTCAGTATGAATTTTTATGTGTCTTTTCAGGTTTTTTATCTGCATAAATGTTTTCTCACAAATTGCGCATATATACAATTTCTCATCTGTGTGACTACGTAGATGACGCCGCAAATGATATTTACTTTTAAATTCTTTTTCGCATAATATGCATTTAATTTTTTCACCGTTAGTATGTACTGAACTATGGTAATTTAAACCAGTTTTACTCAAGAATGATTTCGGACAAAAAGTACATCTAAATGGCTTTTTACCGAAATGCGCCAAGTTGTGCATTTTGCAAAATTTTTTGGTAGTAAATTTTTTGTTACAAATATTACACTTAAATAGTTTTATTCCGAAGTGCTTAAAAATATGTTGTAATATACTCGATTTATATGAGAAACTTTTGTTACACGTTTCGCACTTAAATGATTTAACTTTTTTGTGCAATTTTAAGTGTTTTCGCGCGTAATTTTCGCTAGCAAACTTCTTTACACACAATTTGCAAGAGTAACATTTTTGTGTGACATGAGACAATGTATGAACTTTCAATCTATAAGGTGTAATAAAATTTTTCTTACATTTTTTGCACTGGTTTTGTTTGTTTGTATCATTGGTAGCATGGGTTTTACTGTGAACTCGAAATGTCTGATAACTACTAAACAATTTTCCACATAAACTGCATTGAAATCTTTTATAATTAAGATGCCTATCGACGTGTTCTTCAAATTCTCTTTTTTCGAAAAATCGTTTTTTACATGTATCACATTCGTAACGTTTTACTTTGAGATGTATTCTCTTGTTGTGTAAAGTTAAGTATTCCACTTTTGTGAAATTCTTATTGCACATTTTACAAACGAAAAGCTCTTGTTTAGAACCAGAATTACAATTTTTTGAAGGGTTTTCATTAGTATGGCTGCTCATGTGAATTTTTAAATCCGCTGATGTGTAATAATGATTTTCACAAAATTGGCATGGAAATTCCAAATGCATTTTAAAGTGTTTTTGCAATAAAATTTTTGTATTAAAGCGATTTTCACATATTTGACACTTAAAGGGGAGGCTTTCCTTATGGAGGTCGTCAATATGTCTATTAAATTGTTCTTCGTCTCCAAAAGTTCGTTCACATACTACACACTCAAAATGTCCTTTTTCAGCACAATGTTTTTGAAGATGTAAATTAAAATACGTTATTCTACAATATGTTTTTCCACAAATATTGCATTGAAGGGGCTGATTATCGTCATCAGCATTTGTAGTTTCACTTTTACCATCCATGCTTATTCAAAGAGCAGGTTTTGTTAAAAAAATATGCAGTTGTGATGTACTTTTTCAAATTTCTTATTTCGTAGTATAATAACTTTTACGGGAAAAGAATAATGATATATTACCTTTCTTTGCAATCAATAGTTGAACCCGAGACATGCGCAAAATTCAGACAACATACATATAAATAGGAAGAATTAAACATACACATTAAAAGACAGTTTTGGTAAAAAGCAATTTTTCCACTAAAATTTTTAAAAAGTGAATTCCAAATCGTTTTTTAAAATGCCATCCCTAACTGACCGTTAATTGTTCGTCATTTTCACTTATTTTTGTGTATGAATTAATTTTGCTTTCTGTTTAATTATTTGCACAGCTATGGCACAACAGCTAACCGACATTCGTTTCTATAACCGAAAGTTTAACTTGTTCATGTTATGAGGCGGTCTAGCATAATTGATATGCTGGTTACATTACATTGCGATTTTACTGTATGTTCTGTCGGGTGTATGTATGTATGTATACAAATTAAGAAACACCAGTTATCGTCTAAAACACTACAAATGTATTATTTTAAATTTCAAAAAATAAAAGTNTTTTATTAATTTTTTTATTTAGGGAGGTATAAATCAGTGAGCAGTTTTTAAGTAAATTAATTCTTTTGCTAATTTTAACACAGCCTAAAACGTTTTACCAGTGCTTCCGAAGAAAAATATTTTACAGGTACACTATTAGTTTTACCCATTTAATATTAAGCACCCCCGTCTCCACTTTTATCATTTTCTGCAACTTCCTTTGTATTCTCTGTAATACTGCCGCTTCTTTCTTTTTCCTTTTTTACATCATCTTGATTTTGTTGGTCTTTGCTGTCAGTGCTGTTATCATCAATTATATCACCTAGTTGTTGCAGTCCTAACACGGAAGGTAGATTTGCTAATGCTTCCTTTGTCTTTTTAGGATCTGTGGAACTAAAATCTTCTAACGCATCTACTAGTATAGATGGTAGTGTATCATTTGTACTGTTATCTTTGTCTGATAAAGTTGCAATTATAAAGGCGCTAAGTGGAGGTAATGGAAACATTGCCGATGAGAAATGACCAGTAATGTTGGCCTGCTGGGGTGAAGAGATGTTTGAGAAACTCAGAAGTGTACCATTTGGAAGCGAACTTAAAAGGGATACAGTTACTTCGCCTTGTCTGAAAATATTGGCGATTTTAGAAAACCTAGTGACACATCTATTAATGTAGGTATTGCTAAATATAAATAACTTTTAATTTACCTTTCAAAGGGGTCATATACAGAACATGTCAAATTTTTTTACTTACTCGTCAGATGTGTTATTTGAATTAGTTGTATTCTCATTAGTTAAAATTCCAACTTCATAAACGTAACTACTGATAATTAATCTGAAAAAAAAACATTTATTAATATTGAACTCCAAACGAAATAATGTTATAACTATAACTATATATTGAATCGCATAATTGCAACACCTTTTCTTAACAGTTAATTTCAAAGTTGATCATAAAAAGTTGAACTGTTGTAAATCAAAAAAAAGATTTTAAAATTATGTTGAACGTTTCGCCAGTTTTACTGCAGCTTCCCCAGCAACTTATTTCTGCTCATTTAAAAGCCTTAAATATTTAAGTTGGTTTGTCAATGGTTAAATATGAAATAATTTAAACCTTTTAGCGAAAGGAATTAGTAGAAATGAGTTGTTGAGGAATTCGCAATAGAAGTAGAGATACATTCAATATAATTTTTAAATCATTTTTTTGATTCATAACTGCCCAATTTCCTTTGTAAACCACATCATGGACATGAACAGAAGCACTTTACCTATGCTTCAAGTTAGTTGCACTATTTTTATTTTATAACATGTAATAATGTACATTCTTCAGTATCAGCAATAGTTTCACAAACAATTATCATAAAGAATTCAAAAAATCATTCCACAATATAGTGTATTACATAAGCATAGACGGTTTTAAAAAAGTAATCTACTTTCATAATTTTATCTTTTTGTGATAAAGAATAGAATCTGCTATTATTAAATTTGTTAAACATTTTAACATCTGAAAAACGAAAAAGGTAAAAATAATTTATCTATTCAAAATAACTAGTTAAATTATGAAGTTACTGAAACATGAAAGCAATTTTAGGAACTTGTTGGACATTACTTTAATAAACTATATATNAAAATGAAAACCAAATATATCAATTTTATAGAACCGATTGAGTAACTTTATTTATAATTGCAAGAAATATAAGAACCCTAGAATATTATAGAAATATGAAATGCATTATTTCGCATTACAAAACTTTCATAAAAATATTAAAAATGCTTCCTTAGTAAAGGTTATATTCTTTGCAATATCTTCACACTTAATTAGCAGTGAACGTAGACTGCAACTTGGGTGTTTTTTATACTACTACTAATATAATTACATTGATCACTTTTTTGCATAAAAGTACGTAATTTATTAAAACTCTGTAATAAATATAATAAAAACGAACTTATGTTATTTGGGAAAAAGTTAACTTTGCTTATTTTTTGTTTTTAATTTTTTGCACTCGAGAATAAATTTACTTAAGTTAAAAAATGATAGAATGAGGAAAAAATTAATGCTTTTTTGTACCTATCAATGTATTAACTGTAGTTAACAAAAATTCAAAAAATTTTTTGAACAGTTTTTCAAACTATAGACTGCACAGCGAATTCAAATATGGAATAACCACATAGGGTTACTTAGTCAATAGTAAATTATTATCACTAGTAGACCAATAATGTTCAATATTCTAAGGAAATTATAAATAAATAAACTTACAGATCTCCTGTACTGTTGTTTGTATCATTCAAGGAATTTTCTTCGGTGGAATCGGCGAAATTCTTTTCAGTGCCATTTACGGGAATTCCCGTTGTCATAAAAATAAAACTTACAGATGTGCACCACAAAAAATACATTTCGACCTAAAAAATTCAGTTTTTTAATTAAAATTTTTGGAGTACAGAATTTGTATATAAATTTTCTATTTTATTGTTAGTGTACTTACGCGACCCATTTTCGCAAACTATCTCTATTATAGATCGGCACCGTACTGCATTAAAACCTTCACTTTCCGCCACTTTTATAGTTACTTGGTATTGGAATTGAATAATTTCATTAGGTGACGCTTGGTCAGTCAAAAATATTTACCGTTTTCATCACATTAAGCACTTGCTATGTCATATTTTTCAATTATTTTATATACTATTAAATTGACGATTGGTTAAAACAAATGGACAATATCAAATTTGTGGGGGGGAAACGCTATATATATATAAAACTGTTATCACGGAGCTCAAATTAAAATCTTTTAAAGTCGTCACTTTACGGATTATTGCTAATTAAAAAAACCTTCGAAAGTTGAGTAACGTTTGGGTTAAATTTACAATATTTAATGGTGCATTCAAATATGTATATAGTTTTGACGTCAATTTTATTAATTAATACAAAATGTTTTTGTTATTTTACGTACATATTGTAGGTGCCTCCCTATCTGCAGACTTGAAGAAAAAAAATAAATCAAAGTTGCGCATTTAGACATTATTGTAACAAAATACTCCATTAAGTATGATAATTTTGCCTTCAGATATAATTAAATTAAATTGTATATTTGCCGCAGAGGCGCTAACACAGGATGTAAATAGCCTTTGAGATAATAACAGTGCAGTGCTAAATAAATGTACATTTTAAGATTTTAGAATTCTAATTAAAAAAACTCTTACCTTTAATGGTAAACATGATGGTTGTGTAGAATTAACCCATTGCTTGCCAGAAACGTTTTTCTTGAAAACATTATTTCGCACTTGAGGTAATCCTAATAGTAATAATAAATAATTTATAATTTGTTATTAACTAAACTACTTTTCAAAAAACTTGCATTCACTCTGATGCGACCAATTTGAAGTCTAAAGAAAAACATAACATTCTAAGATTTTTCTTATAGAAATTATGTTTTTAGGAACATATCTATCGCGTAAAAAGAAGTTTACTTGTATAAATGTAATTTCAGAATTAATAAATAAAAAAGCAGTACAATCGATAGTGTGAACATTGCATAATGGAAACCTGTAGGTAGGTACATTTAAACGTGTTTAGTTCTGTAAAACCAATCAAAACTCTTGAATACAGTTTTATTAGAGGTATCTATAATTTAAATGTAGTAACTAGTGGATAGGAGAGTGACATAGTCATTACTGACCTGATGGCTATAAAAAGAATATCTATACATATCAATTCCTGCTTTCAACATTTCAACAGAAATAAGCCAACAATCAGTAGAACAAAAACTGAGGGGCAGATTCTCTTCATAAATATATATGTATAAAGAAAATCAGGTGTGAGAAAAGAAACGTTTATTTTCATTTAGTTGACAAAAATTGGTTTTAATAAAAAATATATACACTTAAAAGACTGCGACGATCGGAAGGAGCCATGTAATTATCATCATTTACAAAAATTTTCGGCAACCCCATTTCGTTATTGCAGCATCCTATTCCGAAACAAGGGTGAAAAAGAGCTTTTTCACCACTCGCATCGTAAGACGGATACAAAACTAATAAATACAAATGATACATCAAAAACCAACTGTATAAATTACGCAAAAGGGGAAAAGGCGGAATGACGGTTAAAGTGGATAAATGAGAAAAAAAGAGGGAAGAACAAGAAAAATTACTTAAAAGAATATAAGCTACCCTGAAACTTCTTCGGATAAATTCAAATCACAATACATTACAAAAGATAGTACCTCCTTATATTTTTTTTATAAACGTTACTCATTACATCAGTTTCGTTTGCTCAAACTATTACTAAAAATACTTGATAATAATAATAATAATCGTCTTTTTCTACATAAATAATTTACTTTTATATCTTATATTATTATTATGTTCAATAGTTGTCTTTCTTCAGTTAGGCGCAAATATTTTATAGCGTAAGCATCACGAAAATCATGGAATTTCGTGAAACAAGTACCAAATCAAACTAACTACATATTTACCAAACTATTTACTAATATGTAAAAGCATTATCTAACGGTAAATGTTAATTTCTTCAACAAGTAAAATCTAGGCATTTACAATTTTTCTTAGAAAGAATAAAATCGGTATGCAGCCTTTTAGATAATAAGTAGCAGATTTTAAAAACTTATTTACTGTTTTAGATGCAAAAAGGAAATTAATTTTTTAATGACGCTATATGTATATCTAATAATTACACAATCAATTAATTCTGTTTTTACACGGTAGATACGTTCCATACAAATTTGTGTAAAAGATGCAATCTTTTAATAGAAATAAGAACTTAAAATAATTTAATTACAATACCACATATTCATGTCAGAAATTTGGGGTATTTTTAAAGTCCGATTTAAACTTCACAGAACGCAAGAGTGAATTACAATTTGTAATGACAATGACATTATATTTCGCCAAATATATGTATATATTCGAACAGGCGCCTATCATTTTAAAATATTTCTGAAGATTAGTGTGTACGCTCTTTTTATCTTAATTAAATATAAAAAGGTAAACTGCATTTGAAATAATAAAATACTGTAGCACCGATTCTTTTCAAGTTACATTATATTTCTTTTCTTCGTTTTTTTTAATTAATAAGAAAAGTACAGTATTTCTTTCACAGTAAATTTTCTCCATTATTTATTTTACTACTTTAAATAAAAAGAATTAAATATGTATAGTATATATATATATATAACAAACTTACTAATTGTTCTCCTTGTTTCACGTAAGCCAACGTTTCGTCGATCGAGAACCTTCTTTTTGGGAATCGTTTAAACTTAATATGCACATATCAGTTAATGTTTTAAAAATAGTGCGGCCGCACCCATAATAAAACTATTTTCAAATTTGCACTCACTTGCAGCGGCACTTTCTTGCGATCGTCTGCGCGTTAACCGAAGAAAAACAAACGGGAGATAAGAAAGGGGGCGCGAAGGAACGTCCCCCAAACACACACCCACACACCTCGCCTTTTCGTAATTAACTAATTAGTTAAACAGCGTCACAGTCGCGTTATTTCGTTCCGTCGAACGAAAAGAGAAAATGAAAAATAAAAAAAACTATTAACGTACATAAATCCGCATATTAAAAGGAAGAAAGGAGAAAAAATGAAACACAACACTTCCCCCATTTCACTATTAACTGTCACAGTTTACGTTTCAACCTCTTTAGTAGGAAGGGGTTATATGACTTTAAATTTCATGACGTTTCATTTTTTTTAAATTATGTTGGACGATCTATTTCGCCCCGCAATTCTCGTTATTAACAAACTGCTGATTTGTATTAGTGAATAGACAGCTACTAATCGATTTTTTTTCATGATTAAGGTGTCCGTCTATTGTTGCTTAAGGGTATACGAACTTAATCCCCTGTCCGAGAATGGGAAGCGGTCTTTTGACGTACCAAACGTTCTGCGCGGGACAGCAATGATAAACTCGACTCACTCAAATCTAAAATAAATAAAAAAAAAATGTATACGAATAGAATAAAAAGTTATAAAAACAGTCATGTTAAAAATAAAAGCAATAAATTTATTTGAAATGATAAATTTTGAAAAAATATAGGATCGTACCAGGATGTTTCAAGCATAAAATTGAATGAAAAAAGAAAACCGCTAAAGTTTCTTCAGTTTATAAACAAGTATTCTTTTAGGATAAAACCGATGATTTGTTAGTATTTTTGAAGTTTTTCGGAAGTGTTTTAATGGATTAAAAACGACTAAACACCACAAAAGCGGCAATGGGAAGTGCCATGGACCCCATCCTAGACCTTTAAATTTTATTTTGTTTAAACTGAAGCATCAGTCAATATGTACTTGAATTAAAATAAACTATTTCAAAGCAATTTTCACTTACTACTTTTATTGATTCCAGTGTCAATTCTTGAACTGAAACCACCCATGTCTTTTCCTAGCTTGGCTGGCTGAGGTATGATTGTTATTTCGTCATTTATTTTAAGGGGTTTAAGGAGGGTAGAGTCGTTCTTAGACGACGACGATGACGATCCACTACTTCCCAAATTGTTTGAACTTGAGCCCTTTTTATCCATGACGCGTTTCGCCACAACACTATGAGCTGAATACACGTGGTTTTCGAATTGCTTGTACATGCCAAAGGTAGCCGTACACACGGTGCACTTGTAAGACAAATGGGCCGGTTTCAGGGTCATGTTGTGGTCACGTGCCACATGGTTCAACAATTTCCATTGGTACACCTAAGTAGAAATTAAAAAGAAAAATTATTGTAAATATAAATGTTTTTGGCTTATCTCATTTAATGGAAGTCTAACTAAACTTATAGAAATAATAATTTTTCTACATAAGCAATAATTATCTTTAACAATTTAAATTATTATTATTATTAGTAATTAAAGAATTAAGGACTTAAAGGTAATAATTACTTTTAGAAAACATGCTAAAATTCTGAAAGTTTCGTAATTCTGACTTACAAAAAACAAATGTTTTGTTGGAACGTACCCTTCCGCAAACGGGACACCGTCCTGCATCCTTGCTCTTATTAGCCGCCTCTTGCATGCTGGAAGTGACAAGTCCATGAGATCCTAAAAGATGCCTCTCGAGTCCTTGATCGGTGAAGAATCGGAACTGACACTTCTGACAATTGAGTGGTGGTCGATTATAGATCATTTTTGGATGAATCTTAACCTTGTGTATCCATTGCATGTGGTTACGTAACTGCTCCAAGTCCTTAATGTAACCGTCGCATATCTCGCAGATTACAAACGAATTTTTCGAACTAGAATCGCCTGGTTTTAGCATCGTGGACGACGTCGAGTTCGATGAGGCGCTGCCTCGAGGAAGTGGCGTAATCGAAATGCTTGGCTGCTGCACCGGTTTCGATTTGACCGTAGATTGGCTCTGTTGTGCCTGTTGCTGTAAGGAAATAAACAATTTTTTAACAAATGTGTATTATTTGCTTTCTTTTGGTCTATGGATTGATTAGAACGAGGCTAAAAAAGGCCGGAAATACACAATATGAACTCTACATAACAAAAAGTTGTTAATGAAATTAAACATCAATTGCCCTCCATAAACATGACCATTACTTGATATTCTGAAAATAATATAAGTTAATCAGAAACATGGAAATAGAATAAATAATTAATACATGGAACTGTATTTTATATTTTGTTTCCCTTCAAATAGTATACGTAAAATTTTTTATGCCATACAGTTAAAAAAGTAAAGGGATTTTGTCGCTATTCTGCCAACTTTGGTATATATACTTATTTATGTTGCCCACTGAAGCACAAAAGTTTATATCATGCTTTATTGACTAGACACAACTAATAAATACTACACTAGTACTACTACTACTACTACTTTCTTATTTTATTTTCTTATTCCACAACAAATATTATTACAAATGAATTAAGATTAAGCAATAAATTAGTATTCACCCACAGCCGATCATCTACTTACACGATTTCAATTTAGTACGATAGATTAAAATAAAATTCAATGAACTATAACATCATTAACATTAAAAAAAAATAACACTAACTTTCGTATGATTAGTGTATATTTTTTAACAGTCCGGAATCATTCTTCTATTTCCCAAAGGTAGATAAAGATCCAATAAAGATTCAGAAAAATTTCTATTGTGTAAAAACAGGATTAGGGCGTATACGCAGTCAGTTTATATAAAAAAATAGTAAATAATAATGAGGCATTACAATAAGAAATAAGACGCCATGCCTGACGAGCAAAGCATTCAAGGGATTTTTTTAATCAACTCAAGTGCACATAAAAAATTATTTTCGTATTTTAAATATATTTAAATTTATTTTTACATATGTCCCTGTATGATCTTTTTTTTATTTCATGAGACACATTTTTTGACGTTTTAGGAGGTGGATAGGCTTAAAAAACCAACACATCTTAGAACAAATAAACACATTCATACTATTTAAAGCGTAAAATATTTGAGCAGTATCTTTTTATGTTTGCGACGGCGTACCTGAATGGTTACGGAAGTTGGGGGGGCGGTGGATAGATTGGGCACGAACGCCGTGGAGCCAACGGTGGCAAGACGGGCGCCCATCTCTTGTCCGCCCACCACCTACACAACGTACACAAACATCAGCCGTTAATTACCATGATAAGAAAAAATATACAAATCAATGGAAAATAAATTGACCGCTCCATATGACAATAAAATCTACCTAAAACATTTTAATTTGATAATAAAATACTGAAATATGCTTTAAGCTTTGATTATTTTTTTTTATTAAGTAATTTTCCTTTCTTTATTAAAAAATCGGATCATTTTTTATTAAACGTTTTATCAATTGCGACGTCGCTATCCTCCGGGGTAGTATACAAGTTTGGCCAATCACTACAAACTCAAAATACTAGTTTGTAAGTGCAAACATACTTTCAAATATAATTTGATTTTTATCAAAATTACTTATATGAAAAAAGATTAAAAACAAAATTTAATACTTGTATTCTTTAATGCAATTAATAGTCCAGAGATATTTAATTTTTTGTTATCCAAAAAATTTGTTAGTTTGAAATATAACCGGTAGTGTGTGTTTTTCAAAGTGCTAAATAAACAAGTAAGAGGAAGTAATAGTGAAGATGTTATTGACTACAGTATAAAGAAAAATTTAAGAAAAATACCTGAAACACCTGGTTTCCAGAAAGTTGATAACTTGTTGGCACAAACACTGATCCACCAGACATCTGCTTGTAAACCATTCCGCCTGTGTTTTTCAGATTTGGAGGTGTTTTGACTGTTCCCAAGGAAGGCCGTCCTCGACCTCTTTGTACCATCTGAAGACCAGGCTGTTGATGCACCTGCTGAATTAAATAAGTATCAAAAAAGCATTTTATAATTATTGTAACTTAAAAGTAAATTCATCCCAGNAATTTATATATTATAAAATCGTTCAATCCTAACGATAAGTGTAAAAAAATACATAAAGACTGTTGAACAGATGAATACTTCCAGACTGTTGGTATTTATTTCTATTTTTTACCATAACCGTTTACTTTTGACAAGAACTGTGCAAAATATTTATAAAAGAAAAAACAAACTTGGGAATATCACAGAACATTTTTTAAATGCATAATTTAATTTATTTAAATTTTAAATTCTTTCTCTAAATTGTAAAGTAGCTTTCTAATCCAAAGTAGTCAAAATATTCAATTAAAAATCATGACTTACCAATTTTTGCATGATCTGGTACGGATTGGAGGCCCGTTGCGCCATGGCCTGATACATAGCCGCAGTCGCGTTCAGTCCAGTTTGTTTCATACGTGGGGCGCGTGGTATCTTTGCCGGAGGATCCCAATCACCTGGAGGCTCGAGATTACGTTCGGGTCGGAATTTACGTGCACATGCTACCAAATGTCTCGACAGCTTGCCCTTTTGGTTGTCTTCGAAAGGACAATTTGGACATTGGTGGAAAGCGGGTGCACGCTCTAAACGACCTCGTACGCCATGTTCAGCCTCCATATGAAACAAGATATCATGCGGACTTCGAATCTCGTACGGGCAGAAATTACACCTAATAATAAAAAAAAATAAATNCAAAATTACTTATATGAAAAAAGATTAAAAACAAAATTTAATACTTGTATTCTTTAATGCAATTAATAGTCCAGAGATATTTAATTTTTTGTTATCCAAAAAATTTGTTAGTTTGAAATATAACCGGTAGTGTGTGTTTTTCAAAGTGCTAAATAAACAAGTAAGAGGAAGTAATAGTGAAGATGTTATTGACTACAGTATAAAGAAAAATTTAAGAAAAATACCTGAAACACCTGGTTTCCAGAAAGTTGATAACTTGTTGGCACAAACACTGATCCACCAGACATCTGCTTGTAAACCATTCCGCCTGTGTTTTTCAGATTTGGAGGTGTTTTGACTGTTCCCAAGGAAGGCCGTCCTCGACCTCTTTGTACCATCTGAAGACCAGGCTGTTGATGCACCTGCTGAATTAAATAAGTATCAAAAAAGCATTTTATAATTATTGTAACTTAAAAGTAAATTCATCCCAGATATATATATATATATATA